CTACCTCTTTTGGAGAGCTGGGGCTGATTTCAGTTTATGGGTGTACAGTTTATCCCGGGGCATGTGGTATTCTGAGAAATAAGGTGACAAGTAAAAGACTAATTTAAATTAATGTGTGCATGGTGTGCAATGTGAAGGACTGAGTGCTGACTGAGTGCTTAGATCTAAGAATACTCTTCTTAGATCTAAGTAAGGCAATCTGAGTTTGTGCTCTGGTCTTGGACTGTCTAAAGACATAGCATAACACAAACAAGGATATCTGTCAATCTACATGCAACTTGTGTCCTAAAATTCAAAAGCTTCAAATGTGAAAATAAAGATAGAATTCAAAGCTTCAAAAGATAGGTAGCTCTTTAGGGTTTTTTTCAGTGGTGGCATACATTACAAAATAGAACTCCTAGAGTTCATTCTCAGATAGTCAACTTCTGTAATGGGTAAAGGAAGAAAATGGGTGAGGGAGATCTGTCAAAAGAGAAGTTGCTTTTCCTTCAAATTATGCCTATTTCAGGAGCCCTTAGGACTGTACAAGTAGAGACCAAAAAGCATGAGACATTACAGCAAAAGAATGGATGCATTTTATTTGTTTAACTTTGTATTGAGGTTTTCAGTAAGTTGGATGGTGTACTTTGTTTTTTCATTGAATTCATTTTCATGAATTCCTGCAACCAGTGGTAAGGCGTGATAACAGTTAGCCCCACTGTGGTCATGGGATACTCAAGATTTTATAACTGTTGGTGTTGGTGTTGGTGTTGCTGGGAGCATGCTTTTAATGTGTGCCTAGGCAGGTGGTGATCATCTTATTCTTGTACAGCACTGACCACATGCTTAGGATTGTATTGAGAAGTTTGCTGTGAATGTCTGCCTGATCAATTGCTAAATGTCTCTAAAGCCACTGGAATAGTAGCAGAAGGCTTACAAAGAGCACAGAGCAGGGATTGCTAGTTGGAAGATCCTCAGTAGATACAGAGGGTTTAGTAGAATTTCTTGACAGATTATATACAGTTATATACAACAGTTGTGGTTTAGTTTATAGTGAAAGCTGTTATGTTAATGATAATATAATATGGAATGATATAACTGAGCACAGGCAGCACAAGACTTATCAGAGGTTTTTATGTGTACTTTTAGAAGTGCTAGAGGGAGAGCACACTCTTCTGAACATGTGTGGCTCTTTTCTAAAAAAATAAGGAAAACCATTTCTGTGTCTCTTGTTTGACCTAGCTAATCACATTAACTGACAGAAATTGTCTGAGGCTTTGTTAGAATGTGTTGTGCTTAAGGTACTGGTTTTGAATATAGTGTTGCTGAAACTTTTGGGTCCTCCTAGAGACCAAGGAGACCTAAGGACTTTTTTTACTATTTTAGTGCTCTCTTAAGGCTTTCATTGGGAATGATCCCATTATTTTGAACACTCTTGAAATGCAGCAGTTTGCCAAGGTTGTCAGTGAGAATTAAGATTGCAATTACTCTTTCTAATAATGAAAACTTGAAAGATGACAGATAGATATTAATTTCACCAAGTCTTCATGCATTGTTCTGTCTGTCTTTCTGGATCACGTTCACTAACAGTATCTTAACAATGTTTGCACATACCGTATGTTGAGCATGTCAGCAATGAGTGGTGCCTTTCAGAGTCCCAGCTTGGTTATGAGTGTTTCAGCACATGTAAGAAATGCCCATAGGCAATGGTGAAGGTGCATGTGGGAACTTTGTAACCTAGTAAATATGATAAAACCAACATTCCTTAACAAAGATGTTCAAAGCTGGGAAACTTCTCTTTGTCAGCCATGGTATTTGAACCTTCTCTTGAACCGTGTGATGATATTGCCTCTATTCAAATTTGTTCTTGTAGTATTTTCAAATGATAGGAGGAAGGAAGTGTGAAATGTTGACTATAAGTGAGGCATTTTTTTCATTTCTGAAAACCACTTGTCTTTGGTTTGACTGAGGAGCTCTGTAATTAATACTATATAGTACTGATTGACATCCATGGAAATCTGTAAGTAAAGTAATTGAAAAAGTGCATGCCAAGAGGCACAGAAAATAAATAAATGTAGTAAATACCCTCTCTTTGTTTATAGAAACTGGCCTGTATATGCTGCAATGTAATTTACTGTGTCTGTATAAGTTTAATAAGCTCAACTCACATTGTATCACCATATGCAAATATGATTGATAATACTTTAAAAAATGAGATATAGTAGTCCACCTACTGTGCCAGTGCTGCCTTGTTATTTTAACTACCTTCTGTGTGTTTCTTTTTCAAATCCTGAAAGCTAAAGAACACAAATAATATAAATGGTTTAGATTTCCTATCACCTTCTAGACTTGTGAAATAGAAGAACCTTGAGATGTGTGGTACATCAACTTCAGCTGACTAATGAATTGTATAATTTTTCAAGATATTGGGAAACATTCAGCAGTATATGATTTTCTAGAGGAGGTAAACACCAATTAACTGTAATTCACAATGTGTTTAAAACAATTATTCTTTATCATTAAAGTTCATAATATGCACATAATATGCATATCAGCTCTTGGTGTAGTCAAAATCAATACTGCCATTTGGGAGTTGTGGTCCCTGGACAGCTTTGTCTAAGTACTGATTTCATTGTCATTTGTATAAGGTATGAAACAGATTATGTGATTCCCTAATATCATTAATGTAGCTACTGTAGCTACTCACTTTATGGTTTCTAATAATGCATGAAAAGATAGTACAGAGTTAATGAAGATATTGAGAAACACAATTGCCTAGTATGCTAGATTTAATTATGGAATGCCAATGCCAACATTCAATATATTTTGGACAGTTTACTGCTCAAAGAAAGTCTGAAGAGAAGAGCAAGTCATGAGGCATTATGCAACTTAAGTGTTCATTTACATCAGACAAAGTTCCCCTGGGTCCAGTAAGCAGCAATTTGTTGTTCAGCTTTCCATTTACATGAAAATAATATGTACACTTGTACTGTGCCAAAGGCAAAGGTTACTTCTTCCAGTTATTGGAGAAAATAAAAATATAAAAGCAGGATAGTGTATCTCTTTTTGGACAGATTTATAGCAGTTATCATTACTGACATAATTTGAAATACAAGTTAAATAATTTAGCCCAAAAGGTTTCTTCCCTTTATTGCCTCTTTATTGCAAGAGGTCTTCCCACCATGCCCCATGTGTTTCCATTTGTGTTTTTCCCATCATAGTTGTTCCTTAGATCTACCTCTCCACCCCTGCTTAGCCTTCTAGGTAATTTCAGGATGCCCTGAAATGCTGAAGATACCAATCCCACCTTTTGCTTTCTCCCATCCCACTTTGGAGCACTCTTTTTTCAGACAGCCAAGCTGATCTTAAGCATCAGATTCAGGTGTCTACTTTTTTTCTTGTCCTTTTGTCCTAGTTTAGGTCAAGGATGTGTGAGGGTAGAGCCTGGAGGCATGTGGGCTTGTCTAGGCTGTTACTCTACACACTCAAATCATCGCTGGTATGTGGCAGTCAGGGAGTCTCTCTTTCAAGATGAAGAGGCCATGGCTTCTGGTGGAGGAAAATGGGCAGTGCAGAGATTCGGCAGACATTTTCTCCCTTTCTGGGAAAGTGTGTGGCGAGTGGAGTGGTGGGTTGGTGCTGATCCCAACTGGAGGACTTGTCTAACATTGTGGGGTTTTTTCGCTGTCTTGGTCTTGGGGACAAAAAATGCAGGTGTGGAAAGTTTGTGTGCCACTTTCATTGTCTCAGGCTTGTGGGAAAAAGCGTGGTGTAGGGAGTGGTGGGGTGACACCATGTGTGGAGGGTGGTGTGTCGGACTCAGGGAGCATTTTGCATGTAATCACACTCTCTTGTACACTGTTGCTGTTTGCTTTCTTATCTCATTGTTGTTTCCAGTAAGTTGTTACCTCAACCCATCATTTCTGCCTTTAGTTTCTTTCACCTGAAAGGGGAAAAGGAAGCAGCTTAACTTCCTGGTGGGCTTAAACCACAACACTTTTCCAAAATAAACCTTAAAAGGCTTAGCTTCAATTTCCTGTTCTACTCCTAAACTTGCAGTTCTGACCATTTTTCTTGCACTTTCCATATCTAAGCACTGCTTGCCTACAGTCTTTTCCTGTAAGCTGCCTATTTAATATTTAAGGACACACACAAACACATACACTTACACACACACACACACACACACACACACACACACACACACTTGCTTTGCCCATTACTTTTCTTTAAAGGCAACAAAAATATACCTCCATATCTCCATATCCATTATCCTGCTTCAATTATAACATAATGCATTTTCAAAGCAGCGACTTCATACTTTCTCATTTGGTGACTTTCATATTGAGGGACCTCTCTGTAAATATAGCCAAAACTACTTTTTTGTGCTTTAATGTATAATAAAATATCAACCATGTTTGCCTTTCTGCTGTGCTGAGACTACAGCCCATCATTCCAGCCCATATCATCTCATTCTTTAATTGTACTTGCCAATTGTAAGGCTTTTATATGAGACTGTCATCAAGACTCTTTGATTTTGGGGAGAGAATTTGTACAGTGTGAAACATAATACAGCATAATAGTCTTTGGATAATTTTCATAGGTGCTATGTTGTTACAAATAATACAGAATAGTACTTTTCCTTCATATCAAAATATCTGCATTATGTTATCTTTAAAGTGAATGGATCATTGGTGCCATTGAAGTAAGGTTCTCTTAGCTGTCTCACAAGGGTGCTTGGCAACTTCTAGGAACATGCTATGTTTCATCGGAAGAGTCTGTATGGTGATTTTGTTGTCTCCTCCCCCCCTTTTTTCTTAAAGCAAAAGAATTGTTCTTTTAGCAAAGATTGTTAATGACTATGGGCATGAATAGTGTGATATTAATATCTTGAATATAGTGCAGACCATTACAGTAAAGCTCAGAAAATGAGAAACAACTCCCCAAACTTTTTTTATTTAAAGCTTGCTCATCATGTGTTTTCTTAGTTCATAAAATTAGTTCCAAATTTTCTCTTACAGGTAAAAGTGACCCATTTTGTGTAGTTGAACTGAACAATGACAGACTGCTGACACATACTGTCTACAGGAACCTCAATCCAGAATGGAACAAAATCTTCACATTGTAGGTGTTTGGATTTAGGTGGGGGGAATGGATGGACAGTGGGTTTTGGGTAGTTTTTTGGAGGTGAGGGTGATGGAGAGGGAAGGAACAAAAATACTTACTGGCAGTTCTAAAGGAGAATAATGATGACATACTGGTATTTCTTAACTAAATATCCAAATACGTTTTGAGGATAAAAAACATGAAAAAAATACAGAAGTGGTATAATTTTAAACATAAAAATGCCAGGACTGTTTCTGGGAAAGCATGTATGAGTAATGCTATGCACACCAGACTCTTGTTAGGTTCAGCAAGAGTTTCAAGGGTCAAATCCAGTGTGATGATTTGCCCCTGAAGTTTTGAGTGGTGGAAAAAAAGATACTGTGAGTATGACCTTTATTAAAATGTGGTTGTTAACTGTAAACAACATTAGATAGCTACATAAAGTTGGAAATTCTGCATGCATTTATATTTCTCTGAATTATGATTTAATACTTTCTACTTGTTTCCATTTACTAACTGCCCTTCTCATAATACCATCTAGTATCATAGTAGTACAATCCAGCTATTGCAAAAAATGCAGTCTAAAACAAATGATTGGGGAGTGATATGATTGATTCTTCTATCCTTGTGTTATTTTGAAGACAGTTAAAGGCTTTGACAAAATAGAAAAAAGGTCTTCCACTGACAAAATGTCCTTGTTGTTTGCCTTGCTCAATTGCCCTTTTTTTCTGCCTTCTCTCTATCTGACTGTAATGTGACACCAATGAGTAGAAAAAACTGATCACTGCTGCTGAAATCAGTAACAATCCTCTGCAAAAACAGTAGCAGCTTTAGTTTCATGTACACTTACTTCACTTTATTGCACATGAACATGCTATATTTTGCCCTTAATGTCAAAACTCAGTGTGATTTTAGTCTTGGTTTTCCCCTCTAGATTTATCATTCATATATTTAGCATCCACAGGTTTTTGTGACCTGCAGTGAGCTCTCAGAAATGAATTCAGAACAAAAGAAAAAAAATCTCACAGTAGTTGTACTTTTCAATGGCTCATTATAGTAGTTCTCATTTCTATATCTGCAAAACCATGCTAAATGGTTCATTAATATATTTTTAATTATTTACCAATAGAGCCAATAACTAATCTTCCTCTACTTCAAGACCGTGTTCTGTGCACAAAGAATTGCCTAGATTTGTAGAGGACAAAAGACTAATCAGAAATCGAATAAAAAATGTCTAAATGCTACAAGGCCTTCCTTCCATGTACATGTGCATTTATATTCAGATTTCTTAGTTAAGTTTTGAGCTAGCAATCCCTCATCTGGAAAAGTATATTTTACTGAAGTTGAACTGCTTTGCTTGAATTTGTATTTCCTGAGTCAGCCATTCAATAAAATATGAGTTCTCTCAAATAATTTTTTTATTCAAATAAGGAATATGAATTTTTCACCCAAAAGTTTACATGTAGAGTGACATTTCCTGTGCATGGCAATGGAGTGTCTAATAGCTTGCAGTCTTTTTTTCTCGGTTGTACCTGAGACATGCATTGTTCCATATTATTTGTTCTTTATGTGCTGTAATTTGTTGTATATTTGTAATTAAATGAGAATTTCGGAAACAAGGAACTTGTTCTTAGTGCAAGGATAAGCTCTTGTAACTTGTAATTCTTTCCATTTACAAACCTACGGGTTTCCCTGTATTTGCAGTAAGAATTGCCACAAGGGTAGCTGTGTTTTAGAGTAGCTTTTAAAAGCTCTCTGTCTTTCTGCTGGTGGCTGTAAATCCCCCAGTGCTGCTCCTTGCAGGTCATGCACTGCAAACCCCAGGCAGGAGATTTAAAGCAACATCCTTCAGAAAACTTGTCTGGAAAAGCTTTCAGAGAGAAAGAGTGATAACTGCAGCCCTTAGATAGCATTTTGGTTATAAAAAGCCTTGCAAAGAGAGAGAGAGAGAGAGACAAAGTAATCATTGCAGCCCTTAGAATGCATATGCAGAGATGTCTCATTCACTTAATCTCAGTTCTCCTCCATGGCTTGGAAAAATAGACGGATATCTGTGTTAACCTTTTACAGTTTTGTCCTTGGTACCCACTGGTGTAAGTGACTTATTTCTTCTGTGTGTACTTCTCTCTTTGTAGCAATATAAAGGACATCCACTCAGTGCTTGAAGTGACAGTTTACGATGAAGACCGCGATCGAAGTGCTGACTTTCTAGGCAAAGTTGCTATACCATTGCTGTCTGTAAGCTTCATTCACCTGACATACTGCTCTGAATTTTTCCCACTGAAGGAGGGAAAGAGAAAAAAAATAAAAAAATTTGCAGCTCTGAGTCTGTCATTTCTCAACCAAGGTCTGTAATAAGAACACTAAAATTTTAACATACTCTATTCACGGCCATGTTGAATCCCATGATAGTTAATTTTTCCTGACAGACTCGGTCCTGGTAATGAACAGGTACTTGTCAGACTTGCCACAGTTGTTTTGGGTTCTCTGTCAGTTTCAGCAGCTGGGGGTCAGGGGTCACCGGGGGGGTGTATTCAGCAGAGACCGCAAGACAGACGGCTGTCATGTCCTTTTCCTGCAGATTCAAAATGGTGAACAGAAAGCCTACGTCTTGAAAAACAAGCAGCTGACAGGGCCAACAAAGGGGGTCATCTATCTTGAAATAGATGTGATTTTTAATGCTGTAAGTCTTAACTTTGGGTTTTTTTGTACTGCTAAAGAGTTCAGTTTCATGAAAGCTTTTGTTCCTGATTTGTAGAGAATTTCTGTCATTCCTCATTTTCTCTAAGCCTTGATGTATACTACAGAATACTCTTCTGCCACTGCTTGGCACACCCACTCTTTTTGTTGCTGCTGCTGCTGGTATTGCTGCTGATGTACAGAGCAGCAACTCTTGTCCCTGTGTATGCTTATGTGTCCTGAGCTTGGCAGCCATGACTTTGAAACTTGGTAAATTTTGTGAATTGAAGCTTTTGTAACTAGTGAGGAGCAAGTAAACTTGAAATACTGACACACATTTTAATGCATAGGTGAAAGCCAGCATACGAACCTTAATGCCCAAAGAACAGAAGTACATTGAAGAGGAAGACAGACTGTCTAAACAGGTAAAGAGTAAGGAAACACTAATCCCTTCTAAAATCCTTAATATCAAGTGTACACATTCAAATATCTGGTATCATACTGGTGAGAGTAAAGAATAACATTTTCATTATGTGTTTACAAAAGAATATGATAGCTTGAGAAGTCAGAAACAGAATACATGGGTTTAATGTGTCTCCTCTATAAATTGCTGCCTAATTTCCATGAAATACATGAATAAGAACACAGTTGAAACCATCAGGTTTCACACATATCAGATTATTGCACAGGTGCATGTAAAATAAGTCTTGCATAAATTTTTGCTGTTAACTTTGACCCAAAAGTTCTCCATTTGTTGCAGGGTAAAGAGTCATCATTCTTTTAGCCAAATTTCAAGGAAGTTACTTGAATAAGGTTTGAATCAATGGTGATAGCAGACTGAAATTCTTTGCAATCCCAGGAATAGGAAATGTCTTAACTCTTTCTTTTTTCTCTGAATATTTTTGCTACACACAATTTTAATGCTTTCTTAAAAAAATATTTAAACACACATATTTTTCTGCACTCAAACTACTTTGGACTCATTTTTTCTTGTTCTACAAATGTATGTTGCATGGAGAGAATTTGTTGGACTATGGGAACAAGATTTTTGTTGTTTTCAGTGAAAAGTCAAAGGTCTCAGAACTGCTTTCTTTTTTTCTGAAAGCTTGTATACTTAAGCATGGTTTAAATTACGTGCTGGATGAATTTTATATCAGTTTATTATGTAGTTCATAAAACAAAACATTTCAAGAGACAAAATATTTCCTCATTTGCAATATTGAGTAATGCAGTTACTAAAGCTGATTTTTCCACTACCATTCCAGTAAAGAAGCAACAAAGCCTTTTACTCAAGATTCATTCTTCTTCCTACTTTCATAAATGAAAATGGCATTGTGACTTTTGCAGGTGGCAGGAGGAGTGACCATTTTCTATGTGTCTCAGAACACAAATTCACTGGTTTGTTTGCTTTTTGTGGTGAAGTGTTGCCATTTTAGAGGATTTAAGTACATTTTCCTGAATCAAAACCTAAAGTTGTTATGTCTTACATATATGTAATTTGAAAGTATGTAGATTACTTTGGTAAACATTAAAACAGTGCTTTCAAAATACATCACAGCAGACAAATTTGTTAAAAATGTTAAATAGTGCTGATATCTTAATTATATTAGAGCAGTAGTGTTGAATGGTTTCAGGTTAGTGTTCTGCAGCATCTTTTTATTAAAAATGGCCAACATTTGTTGAAGGCTTAATGAAACTGAAATCTAATTAACAAAATAATTTGTGAAATTTTGCAAGTGGCTTTTGAATGATGAACAATTTTTTTACCATCTAGAATTAAATTCAACAAATGCCAGTTGACAGAATTAGCAAATTCTCTCTCTTCCAAGTCTCAGATTTTAAACTAACTTGCTCAATTTGTGAGCTAGAGATCTTAATATTTTCTCAGCCTTTCACCCAAATTGAGAATGACAGTATTGTTAGTGTGAGCCTCTCCTGAAACTTTTTGGTGTTTTGAAATTTTTTCAATCTTTCATCTTTTTAACAGCTACTGTTAAGGAACTTCATCCGGATGAAGCATTGTATCATGGCGCTCGTTACTGCTGTCTGCTATATTAGCAGTTGTTTTGACTGGGATTCTCCACCAAGAAGTCTAGCTGCTTTTTTGGTATGATCTTCTTTATACTATTTTTAATCATCCCAGTGTCTTTGTGTTCTAGACTGAGAGACAATACTGTGTAACTTGGTGGTTTCTTTTTAATTTATTTAGAAGTTCGCATTGCGATAATGTCATAAGTCATGTTTATTCATTTTTTTTTAAGTAATTAAGTTTAAAATGTCACACAACAAGATAGAGTGTTTTTTTTTTTTTAATTTGTAATTGTATATTTGTAGTAAAAAAGTCATTGATTATATAAGGTGCAAGCAGGTGATGCAAATTGAAATAGAGTCAGTGAACTATGGATAATATTTTTTAAGGTTCTCACAAATTATATCCATTAAATTTTGTTTGGTCCCCTTGCATATTGAATAGTGACTCTCAAAGTATTTTTGATAACTAATTATTCAAAGGTGGTGTTCCTAGATGAAAAAAAAAATCCATCAAAATAAGACAAACCCAATTTTAAAACCACAAATGCAAACAAACTAGTACCTTTTAGGTAGCAAGCTCTGGTCATAGTTTTTAGTGAATGGTTTTAAATGAATTTGTTTTTAGCTATTTAAACAAAATTTCTGTTTCTTCAGGAACAATGTCTTCTTTAGTATTATTTTTCTGTTAAATTTTAAGAATTCCAAGTAGAATTGTAGATTGCATTGTGTTACCTGGATAAATACCTCTTTATTTTTAAAATCATAAGAGCTACAAACAAGACCATTATTTTTTTCATTAGAGAGTATAAATGTATGTATGGACATACTTTCTGTAATTTCTAAGTTTTTTTAATTGGCTTAGAGATACTGAGATTAATAACTGCTCCACTATGATTATGAACAGGGAAGGGTTTTGTATAACTTTGAATAACTATAGACATCATCCAGAGACAGTATTTTTTACTTAGGTGCCTGAAGGTCAGGTGCCTCACCTTTGAAGAAATCAAACCAGGCATTGGTAGCTGGCTGTACAGTAAAATGGGATAGTTGGGTCTGTCACTAAGTCAGGCTGTTTTGCAGAAAGATTCTCCGTACTTTCTCAGTTTCTCCGCAGGGCTCCGTTTTTACTGTGTTGCTTGTTAAGCTCTTGGTTGCCATGTTCATTGGGAGTACAGGAGATACATGTGCTATTCAAAGAGCCAGGGGGTTGTACTTTTACTGATGTATGTAGTAATAGCGCTGTGTGGAAAGATAAAATATGCTTGCTACTATTTGCTGTAGAAATGTGATGTATCATTTCAGTTAAAAGTTATCAACACTTCATAGGAAAATGCAGGTTTCAACATAAAACTCAAATGTTCATATTGCTATTACTGCTTCAGTTAGTAAGTATTCATCACTTTAAGTCAGATTTTAATATGGATATGGAACACTCAGCTGTTGCCAGTGGAAGAAAGGAAAATGGAAATCCAATTCTTTGGGCTTTTTTTTTTTTCCCCATGGCATACTGCTGTGGCCATGGAAGTAGTGGTGTTGCTGTTAAACTGTAATTGTTTCTGGTCATAGAAAAAAAATCAGTGTGATAATCAGTAGTAGTAGTAGTAGTAGTATGTAAAACAGAATTTAAGTAGGGAGGTCAATAATTAGTATATGTTATTATTATTATAGTTGCAGCGTATTGCAGTAGAAACATTTTCCTGGTTATATTTTTGTAGATATGTTCATATTTTTCATACCTATTTATATAGAGAGACATTATATATATATATATATATATATATATATATATACTGTGCAGGATCCCTCCCCAAAAATATACAGCTTTAAATCACTGCAAACAAGAGACATCTCAGGAAAATGTTTATATATATATATATATCTGTTTTCTTGGTTTTCTTACAGTATTTTTTTTTTTGCTTATGTAGGTGTTGCAGTAAATTTTTATGATTATATCAGTGCTGTGATTGTATAGATGTATTCCAGTTCTGCATCCAAAATGCATTCTGTGCTTTTTGACCTGATGTTATCCTCTCCAAGGATCAAATCATTCCTCTGTCAGGCAAAAGAAGTTTTTGCTGGCCAAGTCAAATATATGTGAATTTTTATCATGATTATAAGCTTTGGGTTTAGATGGTTTCTGGACTTTCATAGGCTGTTGAAATCTCAAGAGTGATCCACTTTCTTGTGTTATGATGAATTATACTTGCACTAAGGTTACATTTGAATTTAATAGAATGTATAAAATAAATGTACGTATATGTTTCATTTTCACTATTGCACAAATTATATCTTCTTATGAAGTTGTCTTCTAGGGGCTAGAAAATCTTACAGTGAAATGTCAGTCCCAGAAACAAGATGAGAAACGGTCTGCTCTGGAGGTTTCCAGCTCTTTAGCCAGACTAAGAAAAAACATATGAAAAGTAAAGCTTTAAATTAACCAGTTCTTCATCCCATTGGATTTGAAAATTTACTGTGATGGGTGCATCCTGATACAGAGTTAGTCATTTCACCTAGGTTGCATGTGTAAGCTTTGATTTTTTGAATCTCCCAATGCCCCACGTTCTTGGCATTACAATTATGGAAACTTTTTTACCACTCTTTCTGATGGGAATTTGGGGAACCACAGGTGAAGAAATTCTGGCAGAATAGCTCAGTTTTCAAAAATGTAATTTATAAGATAGATCAGGAAAGGAGAACTACTCTTGGAAACCTACAGAAAACTTTGATTAATATGTTAACTATAACAAGTTACAGTTACCTGCTTCATATGCTTTGTGCACTCTTCACTGCAGTTCTTTTTAAAGTCATTCTCCTTGGAGAGTCACACTGTTAGTCACCAAGGCTAACAATGTTCATTGAAAGGGCTTGCTGATTATTTATACTCCTGAGTTTATCTGTCTCAAACTTTTCCATTATTTGGGATATTTTAGGTACAGAAATGCTGCATTGATGTTTTAGGATTATTCTTCCCAAAATCTGTCCAAAGGCATCAGTGTTGCCTGTGCTGTTCATAGACATAACGGAAACTTCAAGTTATGTTTTCAATGTTCTAGATTATGCATTTCCTCAACTAAACATTATTTTACCTGTTTGTATTAAACTGCATAAGCTCATCACCTTCACTGGGGATTTTGTCTGAATAACTGAGAGTTTTCACTCCATTTCTTTTTTTTATGCTTTGGTAATTAGCAGAAGAAGAAACATTTTATATATATATATATATATATATATATATATATATATATAACTGTCATGCTGATATAACTGTGATGTATTAATAGCTGTTACTTTTCAGATACTTAAAGATATTAATAAATATCTCATGAACCATAGGTTGATCTGGTTAGCATATGACTTTATATTAGAGCAATTAGAAAATTCTATATTCTCTCCTGCTTTTTTGTATTTTTTTTCCTATTAAATAAAGGAAGTGCATAGCAACAATATTAACTTAATATTTGAGTTTCAGAACAGCTTTATTATATCACATATCTAGGCTGATCAAGAATGTGTTATGTACTTATATTCATGCCTCTTAAGACCTAAATACAATAGGAAATCCAGAATATAGAGATAACTTGCTATAAAATCACATATTTTTCTCTGTTTAAAACAGACCTTTGCAGTATATAGCAGTTAATTTTTTTTATTACTATTTGGTAATTAATATGATACATTTCAGGAGGAAGAACTTTAGTAAATTATGTAAAAGTAATGTTTTTTCTTCAGATTAATCCACTGTGGGCACTGAAATATCTGCTAAGTTTGGCCTAATTTCCATCAGCTTCTCAACCAGACATTTCTGTTCTTATAGATGTGAGTGGGTGCAACATGAGGGGGAAAAGGTGTGTATACTTTTTTTCCAATACTAGCAATTCTCACTGTAATGAGCAGAAAATAATTGGACAATGGGGCTATCAGTAAAAGAACACACTGCAGTATGAGTCAGTGAATTATTTTATGGGACAAACTTTAATCTTGAAATGGGATTGTAAATAATTTTCTGCTAACATCTGTCCATTTGGAATTCTTCTAACCATTTCAGTCATTATACAGTAAGTACTGCTGTGTTTAACGGTAGCTTTTGATACACATTTAATTTCTGTACTGCTCCGTGGTCCTTAGGGAGCTTTGCTGTAGTGCTACAGGAGAGAGACAAAGTATTGATCTGTTAACATTTCAGCTATGTATGTTGCAAAATTAATGAAAATGCCAGACAAAAATGTCAGAGTGCACAAAAAGTTATAATTTAAATTTGGTAGTTTAATGAAAAGTTTAAGATGTGCATTATCAAAAATATCCTCTTCCTTGCCTTTAAGGTATTTTTCATAAATGAGTAACTAAAGAGAACCAAGTATTTTACTTAGAGGTACACTCAGCATGGACTATAAGGAAATACATAATCTTCAAAATGTTTGGTATCCCAAAATGGCCTCAGTAAGATACTTAATTGCCTACTTGAACATTTAACTGTTACTCATAAAATAAACTTATTTCATTTCTCACTTGGAAGCAGAGTGCCCTCATGCGATGAACATACATGTTAGCCTCAAATTAAAGGTTTTTTATGAACACATTCTCCTACTCCTGTTCTTATTCCTTTAATTCATTCTATATGTGTACATGCACACACAGAGAAGATACTTTTCTTTCTTTCTTCCTCAGCCTCTCAAATATTGATAAAATGACTCTCCCTGCATCCAAGTCATTTGTTAGGCCTAACTCACCTTCTCTTTGTCTTCTAACACTACAGAATTCATGTGTGAAAATGACATAATAGTGTTCCTAGCTTTTGATTAAGTGCTAGCTCTCTTGCACATACACCATTTAGTTCTGGAGGTGTCAATTAATTAATTTTAAATGAAACAGGGTTTAAAAGAACTGGTTCCTAGAAGGATATGAGACAGCAAAGCAATTTTTTAAATTTACTGAACTTTTCCTCAATAAAACGGGAAACAATCACTACTGTGTATTTTGGAAGCAATGTCACACAAAGAAGAAAGACAAAGGTTATGTTTCCGGAGAGATCTGGTATGATACCATCAGGGATTGGAATGCATTTGTCGTAATTATTACATATTT